CATGATTGACTCAAACGGTAGCAGACTGGCTTGAAAATTTGTATTTAACAATGAGAAATATTAATTTTCCACAAAGGAAACAATAGTATGATAAACGAACCTGATGTGCGAAAAAAAAAAAAGAAAATAATCGTGGTATAATTTTAAACGAAATTGAGAACGAAGTGAAAAGACCGCAAAAATGTTTTGATGTTGAGTAAAAAAGAAACGACCATAAATTGACAAGTAAATGAAATAATGACGCAAGACATACAGGAAACACTTTCAGATCTCGCAAACTTCATTAACTCGTCGCGTAAAATTTATTGAACTAATACGAGAATAGAAGACAAGGATTTGACACTCTTGAAACTCTCATCTTGTAACTTTCTTTATGTCGTTCAACGCTGGACAACGCTTCTGCGTGCGATATTATCTTCAAACCGATCCCTCGATTTTCATCTAAGGAAAAGTTAGCATTCTTCATAAGAGCAAAAAGCATTCTTCGGCAATTTCGTTTGCCCCTTTATGAGGAACAACATAAAATGACAAAGGGAAACTTCTATCGAATTTGACACTTTTTCGGTAGTTGTTCTTGCAATTGACGCAGAGCTGACAGATTTACGATATTTCCGTTCCAATACGCCGGAACGAAAATGGAAGCATCGTTTCGAATAGCATGTTAGAAATATTTCGAATATCCATCACTTTTCAGCAAGTCGACACACCTAATATTTATATCGTGAAAAATCACGCAACAATGCCGTACATCCTGAGAAAATGGAAGAAACTTTGATTGGTCTATTAGGATCGATCATGAACAATTCGCATAATTTTCCTACAAGCATCACGAGATTGGATTCTATCAGTGTTAAATCGTGAGTCGCATAATAAGAGATGCAGGAATGGTTTTGACACCTTTCTGATTGGCATGCCAGTTGTTATTGTCAACTTCAATGTGCTAGAAAAATGCGTTAGAAAAACTCGCAAGATTAATAAAATAATCGAGTGGTCCTTTTTCCGTTAAATCGTGCATCTTAAAAGAAGATTGATCTAAGAAGTTTTCAACGGAAGATTTTCAACGGAATGGGATTTCACCGAGTTGGCGTCGACAGTCAAAAACGTAAATGCGTTTAAGGCTTTT